TACTTTTTAGTGCATTTAAACTAAATTGCTTTATTAAACAGTTATGTTTATTAAAATAAGAGTTTGGTCACCGAACATCTTTAAATTCACACAAGTTATTGCAAAAAACAGCAAAAATCAACTAAGTTTTATTTATTTGTATGTTTCTCTTGATTTATGAAATGATTGTGAGGGTCGTGTTGGTGATATGACAAAAGTCTCATTTCACAATATAAGTTGTTTTATATACAGTGCTCTATGTAAATCTATATAAATGAGTGCATTTTCCTTCTGAAAATTAATATTTAATCTATTTTTAGTGAATATAGGCAATATTGTTCAGTGCATTTAAACTAAATTGTTTTATTAAAGAGTTATGTTTATTAAAATAAGAGTTCGGTAACCGAACATTGTTAAATTCACACAAGTTATTGCAAAAAACAGCAAAAATCAACTAAATCTTATATATTTGTATGTTTCTCTTGATTTATAAAATGATTGTGAGGGTTGTGTTGGGCTTGGTTATATGACGAAAGTCTCATATCATAATGTAAGTTGTGTTTTTTTACAGTGCTCTATATAAATGAGTACTTATTCTTTCTGAAAATTAATATTTTGATCTATTTTTAGTGAATATAGGCAATACTGTTTAGTGCATTTAAACTAAATTGTTTTATTAAAGAGTTATGTTTATTAAAATAAGAGTTCAGTAACCGAACATTGTTAAATTCACACAAACAATTGCAAAAAACAGCAAAAATCAACTAAGTTTTATGTATTTGTATGTTTCTCTTGATTTATGAAATGATTGTGAGAGTCGTGTTGGTGATATGACAAAAGTCTCATTTCACAATATAAGTTGTTTTATATACAGTCCTCTATGTAAATCTATATAAATGAGTGCATTTTCCTTCTGAAAATTAATATTTAATCTATTTTTTAGTGAATATAGGCAATACTGTTTAGTGCATTTTTTAACAAAATTGTTTTATTAAAGAGTTATGTTTATTAAAATAAGAGTTCAGTAACCGAACATTGTTAAATAATAAGTTATTGCAAAAAACAACAAAAATCAACTAAATCTTATATATTTGTATGTTTCTCTTGATTTATAAAATGATTGTGAGGGTTGTGTTGGGCTTGGTGATATGACTAAAGTCTCATTTCACAATATAAGTTGTGTTTTTTTACAGTGCTCTATATAAATGAGTATATTTTCTTTTTGAAAATATTTTTTTTATCTATATCAAAGTTAATATATAGGCAAAATTTTTGGTGCATTTGAACAGAACTGTTTTATAAAACAGTTATGTTCATTAAAATAAGAGTTAGGTCCCCTAACATTGTTAAATTCACACAACTTGTTGCAAAAAACAGCAAAAATTCACTAAATGTTATATATTTGTATGTTTCTCTTGATTTATAACATAATTGTAAGGCTTATGTTGGGCTTGGTGATATGACAAAAGTTTTAAATCACAATATATGTTGTGTTAAGTATAGTGCTCTATTTAAACGAGTACATATTCTTTCTGAAAATTAATATTTTATCTGTTCTTTTAGTGAATATAGGCAATACTGTTTAGTGCGTTTAAACAAAATTGTTTTATTTAAGAGTTATGTTTATTAAAATAACAGTTTGGTCCCCTAACATTGTTAAATTAACACAAATAATTGCAAAAACAACAAAAATCTACAAAATTTTATGTATTTTTATGTTTCTCTTGATTTATTACATGATTGTGAGAGTCGTGTTGGGCTTGGTGATACGACAAAAGTTTTATATCATAATATAAGTTGTGTTTTTTTCAGTGCTCTTTTTAAATGAGTACATATTCTTTCTGAAAATCAATATTTTGATCTATTTTTTTAGTGAATATAGGCAATACTGTTTAGTGCGTTTAAACAAAATTGTTTTATTAAAGAGTTATGTTTATTAAAATAAGAGTTTGGTCACCAAACATCGTTAAATTAAAAAAATTTTAAAGTTATTGCAAAAACAACTAAAATCTACAAAATTTTAAATATTTTTATGTTTTTCTTAATTTATTATATGATTGTGAGGGTCGTGTTGGACTTGATGTGACAAGTTTTATATCACTGTATAAACGAGTATATATTCTTTCTGAAAATCAATATTTTGATCTTTTTTTTGTAAATATATAGGCTATACTGTTTAGTGCGTTTAAACAAAATTGCTTTACTAAACAGTTACGTTTATTAAAATAAGTGGCTTGCAACACAAGCTCATTCTGAAAACATACCCGTGTGTACATTTCTGGAGATCGCGAATTATGTAGGCAGAGGTACATAGGGCTGCATTTTGTCTTTAAAACTAACGCTACAGGGCGGTATGACGTCGTTCCTTTTCGTGCTACCAGCCGACAGTTATCTCCGTATGGCCGGCTTTACCGCTGTTATCAGTTTGCCCAGTTAGTTCACCATGTACATTTACACACTTGAGACGCAGAGTGTGGTTGACCACGACGATGAGGTTTGGGTTTGTCGAAAAACACTTCCAGAAAGGGAGTAAGACAAAAAACAGAAGCCAAAAAATAAAACAAGCAAGTAAATAAAAGGGTGAGAACGTAGTAAAAATCTGAAAATGTGGTAAAAATCAGACGAGGACTTGAATTCTTTTTCTGGATTGCTTTTTAAAACACTGTTGGTTGGGTTTAGAGAAGTGGGTGGGCGAAGGAGTAGTCAGTCAGTCGACAGCAGCCTCTGGTGGCTTTACATGAGGACAGCAGGGACAAATGGCAAGAAAACTGAGATATGAAAAAGCATACACAACGCCCTCTGGTGGATTCGTGAAAACAAAAACTGCAACAAAATGTAGCTCCTGGGACGTATTTGGAGCTCTCCAGAAATGTATACAGTGGTACTTTTTCAGAATGAGCCCCCATTGGTCACATATTGCTAAATATCTGTAGCAATAGAAACTAAAAGAATTTAACTCAAAAACAAGCTACAAAATCTCAACTAAATTATGTTTTTAATCGTTCTCTTGATTTATTTTGTTTTAAACTCATTTTTAAACTGTGATCTTAGGCTCACAGATCCCTCTTTTAAATTAATGTTCTAGAGGATGATTTACGATAATATATTTGTGCATATGCATTAGCCAAAACTGAACTAATCTAACGGAAAAAAAATGAGGATCAAATGAGCACAAACAAATGAATTTGTTGGGCAAAAAAATATTACAAAATTGTATTTTAATAAACATGAAAAAATTAAGTGAAACATTTTTTGTACATTTTATTTAGCTGTTTTATTTCTTTATTTTGCAATAACATGTACATTATCTTTCTATTCCTAAGGATGTTTGGTGACAACTCTTATTTCAATTAATATAACCATTCAATAAAACTAAATTTTGGTGTTTAAATGCACCAAAATATATTGACTATATCAAATGGATAGAAATGTTCAATTTCACTCATTTATGCTGAGCACTGTATGCATTGTAGGCAGGGCTTTACATTAACTTTTATAATTACCGGCCACCATGGCTAGTAGTTTTCCAATGTTACTAGCCACTCTGCATTATTACCAGCCACATCTTTGTTGTTGGTAAAATATATTTTATATGCATAAATTTGACTTTGACATGCTAAAATGACTTGATTTAAATTTTGTGTCATGCGTCCTCATTCATTTCTCTTTTTGTGTGTCGAGTATGAGTTTGCTCAATGAGCATGATAAAATGGGTCATTTTAAATGGGTGTTATATTGCAATTAGTTTTTATTTCACATGACTTTTTTTAGAGCTCAAAATTAACGATTTACCAAATTTATCTCTATAACCACACGAAACAATAATTATTTCTTAGCCACAAATTTTTTATGTGGCATAACAAGCTAAATATAGCTGTATCCTATACTTTTTATTTAACAAAACATTTCTTAAAAAATAAAAAGAAAAGAAATTGACTTTTAAAAAATATCTATTGTCATGTATCAAAAATATGCACAGTAATGTGTCGTGGCTAAAGATCTCTCAGATCACCAGTTGACTGCACATAAATCTCCCACACTGCAAAAAATGCTTTTCTTGCTTAGATTTTTTGTCTTGTTTCTAGTCTAAATATCTAAAATTTCTTATATCAAGAAGCATTTTCTAGACAAGCAAAACATATCGTCTTGTTTTGAGAAATAATATGCCAATATAATGTAAGTTTTTCCTTAAAACAAGCTAAATAATCTGCCAATGGGGTAAGCAAATTAATCTTTTTTTTTTTTTTTTTTTTTGACGTAAGATTATTTTGCTTACCCCATTGGCAGATTATTTTGCTTGTTTTAAGGAAAAACTCACTTAATATTGCCATATAATCTCTCAAAATGAGACCGTGTGTTTTGCTTGTCTAGAAAATTCTTCTGGATTTAGGAATTTTTATATATTTGGACTAGAAACTAGAAAAAAAAAATCTAAGAAAAGCATTTTTTGCAGTGCATTAAAGCAATGTTGTTAAAAAATTATAATAATTAAACCATTTTAAAAAGGCAAATAAAACCGTAAGCAAATAAAAGCAGGTGAAACATACCGTGTGTGATAATGAAAGGATCACATGCACACGGTTAACTTTAGGCCATTTAATAATCTGTTCAAACTGAAAGCAACCGGTGCTGCGGGTGCATGTTCATCACTTTTTGTCTAGTTTATTTGAAAGAGAACCGATGAAAGTTGCGTTTCCAGATCCTGTTCCAGACACGGTGCCTTCATATGAAATATGAGTTTACTCACCAAACATCTTTAGGAATATAAACATAATACTAAATGATATACTTTTAATGTTTCTCTTGTGTTATTAGTGTGCAAATTGGACTGTGATCTCAAGCTCAGAGATCTATATGATAATGCAATAATATATTTGTGCCTTTATATTAGATTAATAAGTCATGAAGCCAAAACTGGAGCATACAAATGTTCATCTTCACTCATTTATGCTGAACACTGTATGCATTCTCTCCATCGATCTCCTATATTATAATCAAACTTCCTATTATTCCGTCCTCAGATGTATCAGTCCAGCCCTGGTGGTCAGTCATCATGCAGCAGCGAGCCGTCACCGCTTGGCAGTGCCAGCCTCCATGGCGGTGGAGTAGAGCCGGCGGGACTCAGCGGGGGCAGCGTGGGAGATCTGAGTGCCCTGGATGACGTGCCCATTGTGGATTCCACCGTCTCCACAGGAATCCTGGGCCTTCATTTGCGCAAGAACGCCGGCCCGGCCCACAGACTCACACACCTGAAGCAGGAGAAGCTGAAGTCGGTGCGGGACTCGTGCTCCTGGGCAAACACAGCTCCTCCTGCCCCCTGCACCAAACTACCACCCATCAATACTGGTGAACAAACTACCTAACTAATTTATTTCAACTGACGCTAGGGTTGGGTGATTAATCGAATTAACCCTTATGTACTGTTAAAATGTACTACCCTTTGGTTTTGTTGGTGGCCGTTTTTGTCCAATTGACTTCCATTATAACCAAGCAATCAGATTTACCCATCAGACTTTGCCTCGAGTGTAAATTTAACTAGAACCTAAAGATTGTTGATAAACTTTGATGTTGGCTGGAGAAAGCCAACGTGACTGCGCTAGGACTGGGAATGGCAGTTGGCAGGAAGCACGGCGGCGGTTGCTAAGTGGTTGCTAGGCAGTTGCTAAAACAATTATGGCATTTTTAGGTGGTTGCTAAGCAGTTGCTAAATGGCAATGCTCGTGTACATGTTTAATCAAATGCTAATACTTAGTAGGCATTTCTAGCATATGTTATTGTATTTAGATAACCATTCATAGCATGTAGCTAATCGTTATTAGCACTTAGCTTCCATTATCATTGTTACCATGCATAGTACACAGAAAGTCCCATTTGCTAGCATGAGTCAAACAAGCCAATGCCCAGGTCCCTACGATGTTCTGATGTAGAGATATTGCTGTTTTTAAGTGGTTGCTAGGTTATACTGTTTTATTGCTATGGGGACATTTGACAGGTTAGTGATGATACATTAAAGCTTCTTGGCAATATGAGTGATCTTAATCAACCCCGATGTTTCTATGACAGTCTTTATGAGTGTCAAAAACTGGATTTGAACATTATGTATTCCTGGTGTTGGGTTGCGGCTGGAAGGGCATTCGCTGTGTTAAACAATTGCTGGATAAGTTGGCGGTTCATTCCGTTGTGGCGACCCCTAATTAATAAAGGGACTAAGGCAGGCATGTCCAAACTCGGTCCTGGAGGGCCGGTGTCCTGCAAAATTTAGTTCCAACCCCAATCATACACATCTGGGCTGGCTAATCAAGCTCTTACTAGGCCTTCTAGAAACATCCTTGCAGGTGTGTTGAAGCAAGTTGGAGCTAAAATCTGCAGGACAGCGGCCCTCCATGACCGAGTTTGGACACCCCTGGACTAAGGGAATGAACATTATGTAAAAATGGCTTGCCGTATTTTTTTGAAAACACAATGCTTAATAAGTGTGAAAGTGATACATGCAAAAATGCCATATCAGTAAAAATATGGAGTTTAAGTCAAAAATGGCTTGCCATATTTTTAAGAAAATAATGCTTAAAAGTTATTTATTGGAAAACTATAAGTCTGATAAACCTTAAAGATATAGCAACAAAATCTAACGCATCTAAATACAGCTTTTGGCCAAATTTGGGGCTTGTATAATTTTTTTATATGCTCGGATTATAAAAATTTAATATTTAACATTTTTTATTAAAAAAAAACAAAAAGTCTTACAGGCATGAGGAGATATAGCAACAATCTTGAATGCAGAAGGCATATTTTGACCACATTTGAGCCTTGTGGCATGAACGGCCTAGGAGGAGATACGTTTGTTTTCAAGGACAGAGTAGCATGACAGTATGTTGGCTTTCTCAAGCCAACATAAATATGGAGTAGTGTAATATGAAGCTGTGATATCACCCTAACCTACCTAATCCCTAACCCCAACCAAATACAAATATAGTGCTGGTTGCGTAATCTGATGAGTGGGATAAAATGTCAGGACAACGGCTTTACTGATTAACTTTGCATGAAATTCGTCTTGATTAACCCGCCTAGTCCTAACAGATGTCATTTCTACTTTATGGCAGGTTCTTTATTGGACGGTCTGTGTGATCCAGGGCTTTCCATCTCCAGCCCGCGTCTGGGCGACCTCTGTCCTGGCGAGACTACAGTGTTAAGTCAGTTGGTGGAGCGTCGGGACAGCCTGGCCAGCACTGTGAGCTCTGCGTACACCTTCAGCCGGCGCTCATCCGGAATATCACCATGTTATTCGAGCCGTCGGTCCAGCCAAACATCCCAACCTGGCGGCCGTCACAACAACATCAGCTCTGCTGACTCCTATGACCCCATTTCAACCGATCTGTCTCGAAGGTCCAGCGAGGCCAGCCTATATGGGGGAATCTTCAGCTTGACTCCTGCACAACACTACCGACTTAAAGCCAAATATGCTGCGGCCACAGGCGGAGCACCACCCACGCCTCTGCCTAACATAGACTGCAAGACTCTGTTAGGAGATTCGCATGAAATCCCCATACATCCCCCTTTGGTTCCCAGAAGGTGCAGTGACACCGGCTATGCCAACCGTAGCGTTTTACCCCATGAGGTGACAGCAAACATTACTCGAAGAGCAAGCGACCCAGTTAGACGAATAGCTGCTGAGCAGCATTCGCTCTACAACAGTGTAAACCCGTATCCAACATTACACCCTCTTGCGTCAAGCCGACACTTTTACAGCACGTCTGAGAGTAACGTCAACCGCCAGCAATATCCACCTCGAGCTCCGAGCATTTCTGAGAACGTGATGATGGAAACTCTGCCGGATGATATGGAGAGTTGCAATGGTGTTGAGGATGGTTTGATGATGGCTGATGATGCTGTTCAGTGTATCACAACTCAAAACGCAGATTCCCCTCAACATACAGGCGTAGCGCACCGGAACCAAAGCTTTGGTTCTCCACAACATTGTCATCTCCAGAGACGTCTGGCTTTGGTGGAGGGGAATATGAATGCTGTAGCTAGACAAACAGCCAGCTCTCAGCAGACATTTCCAGGTTCGGCCAATGCCACAAAGATCCCGATGCCGGTGCAGTGGAATGAGGTCAGTTCAGGGACGGTGGATTCATCTCGCAGCCAAACCAAGCAGGGATCCGGGCGGGGAAACCTCCAACAAAAACAAAACCTCAGCTCATTTCTGAATGTCAACTCCAACCAGCAAGTCGGTCTGATGAGCCACAACCTTGCCTTGAGTCCCGTACAGCGCAGTGTTGAGTTTAATTCCCTGAGGATCAATCAGAGGCAGGCTAACGCAGAGTTTCTGCATGGTTACCTTCAGGGTTCTGCTTCGAATGACATCAGTCTTGGTTTGCTAAACCCGTCTGGTAAATCGCTGACTGTACAACCTGGTGGCGTGCAGAATAATAGGGTATGCGCTCAAGCCCAAAGCCATGCCACTTTTCCAAATAATCAAGGAAATTACTCCCAGATGAGCAGCAACCAGCAAGGCTACATCGTAGCGTCCCAGAATGTGAACGGAAACCTGCTCCTACAGCCAAGGCCGCCCACAGAACCCAAACCCTACAGCACGCAGCATTCAGGGCCAACAACAACTGCAGCACAATCCAACTTTAGCCCTGCATACGACACCTCAGAGGCAAGCCCAAAAAAATCCAGCTCCATGTTTTACACCGGCCAGATTCACATGTTTGATTCGAGCGGCGCTATGCCCTGCCCATCTTCAGTGGGCTCCCCTGAAACTAATCAAGTCTCCAGTACGGTGGATTCAAGTGGAGCCGATCCCCCGCAGATTGATTTTGACGCTATGCTAGACGACGGCGATCATTCCAGCCTCATGTCAGGAACTTTAAGCCCCGCCCTCCTGCGCAGCCTATCGCAGAATTCCTCTCGTCTCACCACGCCCAGAAATTCGGTGACGTTGCCGCCGGTGGCCGCAGGCATCAGTAACATGGCCATCGGAGACATGAGCTCCATGTTAACTGCGCTAGCAGAGGAGAGCAAATTCCTCAATATGATGTCATAGAAAAGCAGAAAGCACAACATTTAAAGAGACGGACATTTCTGTGTTTGAAATCGCCTCCTATACAGTCGACTCCCTAAACTGGTGCACTAATATACACAGTGAAGTCAAAATACTTTTAATAACCCATCTTTAATAACTGACTTATTTTCTCTTTGCCATGATGACAGCACATAATATGAGACTAGATATTCTTCAAGACACTAGTGTTCAGCTTAACGTCACATGTAAAGGCTTTACTAGGGTAATTAGGGTAAAGTTAGGAAAATTAGGCAAGCCATTGTATAACAGTGGTTTGTTTTGTAGCCAACTGAAACAAAAAAAAACCCTTAAAGTGACTAACTCATTTATTAACTTTCTTTCGGCTTAAGGCTGGTTTATACGTCTGCGTGGAGTGATCAGCGTGACCCACAGCGCCTGCCCTGGGCATAGTCGTGCATTTATACTCGATTAGTGCGCGCTGTTTGTGTTGCTCTGCAATAACACTTCAGAAACACTAGCTGGCAGCAGGTGTTTATGTATGTGTCGAGTTTCTTCGAAGGTGTTTTGTTTTTTCTGAACGCTTCCTTAATGTACAAGTAGCTAAAACTCACTCATTCTGAGGCGGGGACCAGCGTACCAGGACACACCCGAACCAGTTAATTAGGACCTGAACAGCACTTGATAATTACAGGCAGGTGTGTTTGATATGGGTTGCAACTAGGGCTGCACAATTAATCGAAAAAAGATCACGATCTCGATTCGACCCGACACACGATCTTAATTTAGCTTTTCTTCGATTCAGCCAATTTTATTTTCAAGGTCAGGAGAGAAGCTTAAAGGCGGCCGCACAGGAACATGAACACCCTCAAATGGCATAAAAAGTGTCACATACTGTATTTATAAGGTATAATTCACCCAGAAATGTCATTTCTGTCTCATGTACAGGGCCGGCGCGTCCATAGAGGCAACCTAGGCGGCTGCCTAGGGCGGCAGTATAGAGGGCAGCGTCCGCGACACCTCCCTCACCACCCGCGCCCTCAGATATATTGGCGCATAGGTGACAGAATAGAGAGGGCGGCGTCAGCGACACCTCCATCAGCACCCGCGTGTCCTCAGTTTTATCCGCGCATATGGCGGCAGAATAGAGAGCGCGGTGTCCGCGACATCTCCCTCCCTGCCTCAGCACCCGCGCGTCCTCAGTTTTATCCGCGCATATGGCGGCAGAATAGAGAGCGCGGTGTCCGCGACACCTCCCTCCCTGCCTCAGCACCCGCACGTCCTCAGTTATATCCACGCATAGGGCGGTAGAATAGAGAGCGCGGTGTCTGCAACACCTCCCTCCCTGCCTCAGCACCCGTGCATCCTCAGTTTTATCCGCGCATAGGGCGGCAGAATAAAGAGCACGGTGTCCGCGACACCTCCCTCCCTGCCTCAGCACCCGCGCGTCCTCAGTTATATCCGCGCATAGGGCGGTAGAATAGAAGTTCGCGACACCTCACTTTATATTAATAACCAGTCACTTTCGTTTTCACATTGGGCGGCGTGATCATCCTCTGCCTAGAGCGGCAGTTCAACTTGCTCTGGCCCTGCTCATGTAATGATTTATTTGCGGTCGCAAAATTACACGTGAGCTGACCCCGAGCTACAGAGAACTCGTGCACGTAGCATGCCAATGACGGCTGCTTTAGTGAACAGAACCTGCATATGCTGTGAATAACAAGTTATAAAGTTAATTTGGTGTGCAAACTCTCAATCCTCATACACACTACGAGCGACTCACAGCGGCCAAGCCACAAGCGACCGTTCATATCAATTCAACAGAGAGTGAGCGACTTCCGGCGACCTCCGTCTATGCGAGCAAGAGCAACCGTTGGCGATCAGCTGGGCGTGACAAAGTTGAGAATCCTCCAACTTTATGCAAATGAAAAGCAACTTTCTTGAGCGTCGGCCAATTGGAGCACCGGTAGAGCTCACGTGATCCTCTCTCAGCTCCTGCAGAGGCTGGTTGTATTCTCTGTGCTCAGACCCAGAGAAACAGGCAGCTACAAAGTGGATGCTAGTGTGAATGAGGCTTCATTCCTAGCTGTTGAGTGCACATGGGTTGTACACTTATTATTGCAGTGCATTGTTGGATTGATTGCTCTTCGGAGCGTCCACTATTATTTCGGACAGCACTACAAAGAGTGCACTATTAAGGGTACAGGGGGCGATTTCAGATACAATGTGCGAAAGGAAAAAAAAACCTGAGTGACTTCATGCAAGGACAAAATGATGCATAAACGTTTTTTTAAATGCTTTTTAAGAGCGTATTATCCTGTATAGTGTTAGTCGAGACTTTGGTAGAGTCTTTTTGTTGTCTTCAAGAAGCCATACTTTGCCTTAGACCAGTGTATGTACAGCACACACGAGCAGACAGACGGAGAGTTTGATTAGCGACGGTCCTGTATTTTTATACGACTTCTGATGACGCGAACGCAGGAACAAGTGCCTCGCTGCGCACAAGCGAATGCAGGATTTATTATTAGCAGAACAGGACTGAATCTTTTGCGTCTTCTCCAATGGATACCAAGAGGTTTTGTATATGCTGTAAATGAAATGTAATATTAAACGTCCTCTGCTCATTTCTACTAGACAAAAGAGAGGCTCCAAAGTGAATATGCATATAGGATATTATGATGATATGTAAAACATGACACTTGAAAGTCTTGCTTTGTTTTGATTTATTGATGTAATCAAAGAAACGTAACGGCGCTCCCGAGAGATCGCAACGCTCTGAACCCAACCAATTATCTTGGACTTTTAAACTCGGTATACAGAAATATGTTTCAGCTGTTTCATGTAGATATATTTTGTACATTTTTAATGAAATACAGTATTGTTGTTTTCCTACAGTGGTCTTGTCTTCTTTCTGTGCACTGGTGAACACTTGCAAAGGGTAAATTAGGAATAAATTATGAGCAAATTTAGATTTTCAGGTGAACTAACCCTTTATTTTTAACAGATGCATTGCAGCAGATGCAAACGCTCTAACTCTGCCATAACCCAATGCTGGGTCAGATATGGACAAACCTAGCTGTTAGGGTAAATAGTGTCATTTCAATAACTTAGTTGAAAAAATTGTCCAGCAGTTTGGTTTATCCTGATTTCATCCAAAGTTGGATTATAACAACCCAGCATCTTTAGAGTATATGATTGAATACATCTGCTGAAATGCATCTGTTGAGTATTGAAATGTTATTGACGACCTGGAAAATAAAATTGGCTTCTAATTTACTCAACCTCAGGGCAAATTACAGTTTTAAGTGTACTATCTAAAAATCTGGGTTGTTTTAATCCCAACATTGAGTCAACTATGGACAAATACAACCCCTGGGTTAAAAGTTTAATTTAAATTTAATTGAACAAATCAACCCAATATTGGTTTTGTCATTAAGCCCATATTTGACCCAACATTGGGTTGCAACAACCCAGCATTTTAGATAGTTCACCCAAAAATGTAAATGTGCCCAAATGATGAGAAAAATAGCAGCAGATTTAATTTAAGGTGAACGACCATTTAATAAAAATGCTGGGTTGTTGTAAAATTGGGTAAAATATGTACAAACTCAACCAATGGGTTAAAAAGTTTATTTTAAATATAAGAGAACAAATTAAACCAACATAGGCTTTGTCAATATTTGTCCATATTTAACCCAACGTTGGATTACAACAGCATTTTGAATAGGTCACCCAAAAATGTACAGTAAATTTGCCCAAATGATGAGTCAAGTAGAAGCAAATTAAAATTTTAAGGTGAACTAACCATTTAATTAGAAATGCTGGGATGACTGAACTCAAAATTGGGTCAAATGTGGACAAACCCAATAACCAATGGGTTAAAAAGTGTAGTTTAAATTTAATTGAACAAATTAACTAAACATTAATTTTGTCAAT